ATAGTAGTAGTAATAGCAACCGCAGCAGCAGCAAAAGTAGTAAATATTAATATTGTAGAAGAAGCAGAAGGAAAACCTAAAAAAGACGAAAATATGAATATGAAGAATGAGAAGAGGCATAATAGAATAATCGAAACAAGCCGAGAGAAAACGAAATTCAAAAGAATAAGAAAATAGAAAATATTCACCAGTTTCGAAACCCTTGACGTTCATCCGCCAGAGGCTAGCTTCGCTCCGCCTCCCTCCACCCAGCAACCAATAATCAACTCATTTCAAGTCACGTCATTCCTTTTTCATGACAGAGTATGACGTCAGGGCGAAACGTGGCGTCATACTGTAGGACTCAAACAATTAGCTTTGCTTTACGAAACTATCCGCACAACCACGAATACTTTATTCGTACAACAACTCGTACTTTGTTCGCACAACCATCTACACGTTATTCGCACTCCGACATGAGACTTCACATCTGTTGTTTCGTGTTTTCTTGTTTCCATGCTAAGAGCGAGGTAAATTGGATTAAAATTAGATCTATTCGCTTTCCCGTCGGTCAGAAAAGACATCGTAAAATAATTGAAACTATATATTTAAGCGCGTCGCAAGGGTTATCATGAAGCAATTGAATTGTGTGTATTTCTAGCATGTGAATCCCTGTACGCATGGTGGCGCATGTGTACACGTCAGTTATACATGAGTGTAATAAATCCCGTTTTGATGCATAGCACTAGAAAACACAACGTGGAACTCATCATTTGTCTTCTGTGTAAGCGATCACAAGAGAGAAAAAACTGTTTATTCCTGAAATGAAATTGATAGTAAGCTAAAGAAGGGAATTGATAATAGATAGGCCTATGTGAATAAATGCTTGCTGGGGTTCAGTTAATCTAATGTATGATTATCTTTATCAAATTGAATTAAGGGTTTTTCATAATTATGATAAGACCTGTAATAGGATTAATAAAATTGACAAGATTGTGAAAATAATGATGAGTAAATATGATAATGATAATGACAAGAATGATAATACTAGGAAATAGAAACGATGATAATGATAATATAGCAATAATTATGTTTAATTATGCGGTTAGTGATAATGATAATGAAACAGTATATCAGTGTGATCACTACAAAAAGCCTATATATTGCACTGCATACTAAATCTACACTTCGTGTCTATTATACTCGTAAAATAGTAGTCTGTCCTTTATTTTTTTTCAAAAAGAGAAAAAATCTTTTATAAGCGTTTTCTTTTTTAAAAAGAAAATCTTTCTTTTACACATGCTCTCATAAAAAAAATGTTTCTTTAATAAGTGTTTTCCTTTTGAAAAATATTTTTTTATGTTATTGTTTTCAAAAAGAAAAATTTTCTTTTACAAATGTTTTCTTTTTTTTTCAAAATACAAATGGTTTCTCCGCCCATTGTCACGTGGTCATCCACATCTTAGTTTTCTAACCTCTGCTAACAGTATTTGTCTCGTGTATATTGTTAGCTCTTTACCTGCCACGTGTACGCTAGTCGTTGGAGAGAGAAAAAAATACAAGGAATATGGAATATGGCTTACGTGTGGATCTTCCAGAAGGTGCTGTACTCAGAGGAAGAGAGAAGAGAAAGGAAGAAAGAGAAAATAAGTGATAAAGAGAAACAGTGGAAACATGACAGCTGGAAAACATTATTAAACATTCGTTAATGCGTTGTAATTTACGATCTCTCTCTCTAGACATTATGTTAGTTTTTATGTTATGTTTATTCTTATTTCTTGTCATTCTTCTTCTCGGCTATGAATAACAATGGTATTGCCTATTGTGATGGACTGTGCAGTGGTCAAACTCAATAACCATAAATCACACTAATAAATAACATGATATAAATAGTTAGACCGTTAGTAACAGATGGGAATACTAATAGCATGCAAAATCTGGCATACACAGGATTCAAATGGGTTTCTTGGTCGCCTTCCAGAAGCGATCGTCGGAATGAGAGAGGAGAGAAAGGGGGATAATAGAAGGGTAAACGACAAGACAAAAGGAAAACGGGAGGAAGGAAGGAAGGAATGGAGGGAGGGAGGGAGGAAGGGAAAGAGGAAGAAAAAGAGTGGGGGAAAAAAGGAAGGAAGGAGATAGGAATAAAGAATGAGGGAGAAAAGATGGAAAGGGAGATGGAGAGAAAGAAGAAGGAAATGGAAAAATACAAGAGGGGAAAACAGAAGCGAGAAAGGAAAAGCGAATAAAAAAGAGAGGAAAAAAACATTCACTCTTACCATAATCAAAAAATTTAGAAAGAGAGAGAGAGAGAGAAGGAAGGTAGATATAAATATATAAATAGATAAAAAGGTAAATAGATAGATAGATAAACAGAAGACAAGAGAGAAAAGAGAGAGAAGGAAGGTAGATATAAATAGATAAACAGGTAAATAGATAGATGGATAAACAGAAGACAAGAGAGAAAATAAGGTCCCACTCCCCCAGATCTCGTCCCCAGCTCCTCTCGCTGCGTCGGCGTCCCTCCCCAATTACCCCGAGACGTCCGACTAGAATCTGTATCATAAACGAGCCAATATCATTAATTCTCCCGCCTAACGACGCTTTATTTTCTTCATTTTTCCCCTTTACTCTTTTTTTCCAAGTGGTTAAGATGGCGGGAAGTGGCTCGTGTGTGGGGGTTTTGTGAAGGCAAA